GGCAGTGCTCCGACAGGAAGGAGAATGTGTCTTTATTTTAAGTCGTGACTGACACATCACCAGGGGATGACTCATCCAGTTGAATAAATGCAATGGTTAATGGTTGGTAATAAGGTTAAAGAGAGCAGTGAAAATTATCAGAAGTTGTCTACAACACCATGCATTCATTTTTATCCTTTTAGACATCCACATTTACAGGTGATGCTTGCAGCAGCTTATTTGAGGACTAAAAATATATTTCTGCTGAGTTCAAGAAGCCACATATTCAAACTCAGAGTTTACAAAGTTTACTTTATAAGCTCAATATCAAATGACAGACTAAAAGACAGCAAACGGTAACATCTCAGTTATTCTCAGTGTGTGTGTGTGTGTGTGTGTGTGTGTGTGTGTGCATGACTGCAGTGTGTGATTATTACTACAATTCTGTTCTTTCTTGCTCATTAGCACTGCTGAATGACTAACACCATTTCCAAGACTTGTCTCAGTGATACAAATATTTGATGCTTTGTATTCAAGACAACTAAAGCAATATCAGAAACAACTGAGATCGAGTTTTTTTTATATAATCTACTGATTATATTTAGTCATATGCAATGGTGGAAATTAACCATGTGCATTTACAGTAAGTACTGTACAGCAGTGTAATTTCTATTTCCTTTATATCTTTACTATATTTTTAGGATGGCAGATGATGCCTTTTACTCAACATTGATTTCGGAGTTAGTTACTACATACTTTCTAGATTCAGATTTTTCATATAAGACATGACCAACATAAAATAAAGACACTAGCATGAGCTTGACAACATTAAAATGATGCTTAGACATTAATACATCAATAATTTCTGTCTCAGTAATAACTCTGAAATGAGCCATTCTGAATTATGAGTACTTTTACTTTTCATACTTTGAAGCACACTTTACTGATAACACAAACTTTTACTTGGGCTAAAATTTGAATGTAGAGATTTCATGTGTAGCAGAGCATTTTTAAATTGTGGTACTGCTACTTTCACTTTAAGGCTCTGGGTACTTACTGTATTTCCTGGATATCACACACTGTTGGGAATGTAAGGTAGAAGCGCACGCAGTAAAGAAATAATGATCTCCTCTTTAATGTGTTCTACATTAACAGATCACTACTTGTTTTCTGGCTGTGTAAAGATCCAATTGATCACCACCTGCCTTTTAATTAAGTCGCTACAAATTACTTTTGGGCCTCATTACCTAAAAAGCACTACCTCCGTCCCAAAGACAGAGATTTTCACTCAGAAAAACTATTGTACTGAAGTTTCATACAGCTTTGACATGATTTGGAGGGAACCAGTTTGCATGTATAACATGGCTGAACAGCTCTTCTATCCACTTCTTGTGTAGTCCAGTTCATTCTAATCTGTTTTGTTGACAGATCTTCAGACTGATTAGCTTCTCAGAGCTTACTCTACAGCATGCAGCCTGATGCTATGAAATAATGCCAACTCTATTTATTTATTGCTGAACTGTACATAGAGTACGTCAACATGATCACGTGTAGCGCAGTGCAGTCATGTGAACTGTAACTACTTCCTGCAAGCTGCTTTTATCTGAGGGGAAGAGAATAGCATAGGAAATGTATAAAGTCCCATCACATGTAAATATCCAGGTTTATCGGTAACAAGATTGCTGCGTAGTGGTGCCAGATTTCTCTGACCAATCACTATCCTGCAGTGTTTACACCTCACCTGTTTGGTATTGCCTTTGACCTTGGAACCTTGACAGAGATGATACCAAAAATAGTACCAGGTACTACATTTGACCGATAGAAAAACAAATAAGATGAGTAGAGTCGAGTCGAGCCCAGCTGGCACTGACACTGATTAAAATGCATCCATCATTATTGAATAAAGTCATTTTGTTTGTGTATGTACCTCCCAGGTTTACAACCACACCATCTACTCTGCTGTACTGTACTGGTGAATGGATGAGAAAGGGGCAAATGTGAAAGAGCCCCACACTGGCTTGACACATTCAGCGTGTAACCTTGTGTCACTATCACATCACATGACCGTTTCGCTCCACTGTATTAGAGAATTATACTGACCTATGCCCTGTTCCCCAGTCAAATTTAAGATTGATGCACTTAATTCTAACCCTATATTTTGTAAATGCCAACCCAGAGTATCGATGGTGCTTCTGCCTCTCTGTCGGTGCGACCTTTTCATTTTAGTGGCAGAAACAGCAAACACAGAGCTGAAACACAGCTCCTTTCACCCTGAGACACAATGACACAGTCACACAGTCTTATGTTACTAGTTATTATTGAAAGCCATGGTTTTGATGCTCCCAATAGGGCAACCACCTGTTCATACTCTCATTTGCCATGCTGCTTTACAAGTAGTGTCTGAAAAGGTGGGGGAAAAAAGAAACACTATGACTCTTGCTGTAGAAGTAGTGTCTGAAAAGGTGGGGGAAAAAAAAAACGCTATGACTGTTGCTGTAGAGATAAGTCAGTGGGAAAGTATCGTGCACTGCATTTCACCAGTGTAACTTCCTCAAGTACTCTATTGTTTCTTTTACATAACAGAGTGAACACTAAAAAGACTAATGTTATCAGTGCTGTGGTGCTTCTATTTTTAGATCTGGTTTGCTCTCCCTTACTGTCGGTGTTGAACAAAACCATGGCAGCCATATATTTTAGTTGCCCCTCTTCATCATTGTGATGCACCACACAGATGCTCTTCGCTCTCCCTCCCTGTGGCCTCAGTGCAGCTCATTAGCACGGCATCACAGGAGTTTACTGAGTGATGATCCAATATGAACATGTGTGCAAGTTGTGGAAACTGAGGACTTAAGAATTTTCAGTTCTGACACACATCTTGAACATGACATAGGCTGGCTCTCTGTGATGACAACTGAAAAGCCTTCACGCCAGTGCGTCAGACAGCAGCCCTCTGTGTACTCTCTGAGCCTAGACACTCTCTCCCTGCACACCATCACTCCTTTGCAGTTAACTTATCCATCACTGTAGCATTAGAAATAGGCTGGATACACAGTTTGGAGCCTAGAACAGCTGTGCAAATTCTGGTTTCTGTATTACAAATCAAGTGAAATTGACAGATGGAGAAATGTTTTGTCCTACTATAATAGAGTGGTAACAACTGAAACAATTGAAATTAAAACAGTTAAAATTCATCCTCATATATCCCTGTTTCACAGTGAAGGTGATCTACACCTGGAACCAGCAGTTCTTAATGAACTCATGTCCTCCTGGCTACCTGCTGCCACTAGCAAACTTTTCAAACCGGTGCCCCTGAAATACAAATCCAGGTCCCACAATGAGCTAATGAGTTTTTACATTCTTCCTCTGGCCTCAGTGACTCAGTGGGAGCCAAAGGCTGCAGAGGTGAACTGGTCCCTGGAAATTTTTGTAAAACCTCTCTGCAGCCTTCTAACACACATCATAGTATCACTTGTTTCCCCCCAAACCTGCATTTTTCTTATTTTTTTGTGTTGTTGTAGTTGTTGAAGTCAAGGAAATCAGACAAAGCAGTGCGGACCAGCAGTCGACCTCTTTCTATTTCCGCCCGGTGTGAATCATTTCTAATTCAAAGAGAGACCAAAGTGCTACCTCTTGTTTTCCAATACATTTGCAGTCTTCCAGAAAGATCATTATCTCTCCTTGTCTCTCAGCATTATCTCTTTATCTGTTGTTCCTTCCTATAATGTCATCAAACTATGATGAATGTGAAAACACACGCTAACACAACAGAGGGAAAGAAAGTTCTACTAAATTAGGAATAAAGCTGTTGGTAGCAGAAGACATACTGGGCACACTGAGGCAGCCATCCTGTAAGCTAGTGCCTAATTTTAGCCTTTCAGGGCAGTGCATTGTATCTCCCCGTGGAACCGTTGAACCATAGAGGGATCCGAGCATCAGCTCAGCCTCTTGTTCTCTCCTCTGTTCTGTGTGTGGGCACTGTCCTTTGTGCAAGAAGGTTACAGGATAGTCACAATAACCTGGGGTAGATTCAAAGAGCTTTGAAGCACCTGGGTTGAACGGAAGATTTAACAGTAGATTCTACATGGCCAGACTGGTTCAGCATTATTCCAGAATACCAGCAAAATAATAAGGCTGTCTCTCTAACCCTAACACCTAACCAATCAACTTAAAAATAGATAAGCTAATAAAGCTTTCATTTAACAAACTAGCAAATGGGACAGGTTTATTATGCCAAACCTACCAATCCGCTGCCACCTTTTCTCCATAACAACATTTTTTCTTAGGAGGGAGAAATTGAGCTGAAGTATGAGGGCAATTATGGAAAAATTAACCTGTAAAAACATAATTGGTTTGTCATGCTAATGAGAAACTATGAAATAGTGACCCAGCCAACCAGCAATGAGTCAATTCTCTTTGCCAAGATCCAGTGTAAATGAAACCGTTCATTGCAGATACGCTTACTTCCCCTACTAATGACTTTCTATTCTGAAGCTTCCTGCTCTGATTAAATAGCCACACCAGCAGTAGACTAGCCCCAGCAAACTTCCAGCATCTGAACACATTTACTGGTTGTTTATTCCAGATGTTGTTGTGCCAATTTCATCATCATTCAGTATTTTAGTCACCTGATTCACTTTGCATTACCTACTCTGTAGTTTATGTGGTATGTGCCAGTTTGTTTTAGAAGCAAGTATGTTGAATTATCAACACTTCAGCATCTGAGTGTAAAGGTGCTTACATACACACACACAGTACAACCAAACGCTCCGGTGGCCACACAGGCACACCATGCCTAACACTTCAAAGATGACTGTCCTTTTGTGAACGTCTTAAAAGCAGAAATGCCAGTGCATGTGATGTTTCAGAGACGCTAACAGATCTAAATCTGACTGTGATCCCTGCTCGAGTTTGTATCACTTCATAACTACTTGAATTTGAATGTACATTTCCACACACAAAAAGGGAAACTGATTAAGTCTAACTGAGGCCTCTGTCTCTCTCAATGTCTTTCTCTGTGGCAGATTTTCCATATGACCTATGACCTGGCTAGTGCGGTGGTAAGAATATTTAATTTAATAGGGATGATGCTGCTTCTGTGTCACTGGGATGGCTGTCTCCAGTATCTGGTGCCTCTCCTCCAAGACTTCCCCCCTGACTGCTGGGTGTCCCTAAACGGTATGGTTGTAAGTATTACACACTCTTCTTATTTGTTTGTTATTTTGGAATATGGTATATGTGTCAGTGCCACTGAACACAGCAGTCGTCCAAATGACCATTCACTAAGCCGCTAGCCCCTTAGTTACTTTCGCTATGACTTTCAAACTTTCTGTTCTTGTACAACACACTGTATCTTCAGTTTATAGTGATAACAGTGGCAGATTTACTACAAATAGATTTATATGTATGCCTTTTATTTCTCTGACAATTTGGTTCCGATGCATCGCAGTTGATGAATGTGTTGCATATTGATGATATGTTAGTAAAAGCATTATAATGTGAGTCTTTGCAGGCACAAACAGTGACAGGTAGACTACTACAGGAGGTCACTGGCCACTAACTCTAAAATTAAGCAGTTGTTTGGGTTGAGGTGTGGATACAGGCTTGGTCTTGTACTCTCGATGTTTTCTTTCATATGGTTTTGGACTAATTTGGAGCGAGGGTCCTTCTATTAATAAGACCTGCAAGCACATTTCATTGGGGATATCATTGCAGGTACATTATTGCTCCGCCAACCTACCGAAAACGGCTTAATGAAGCAGTGAGCCAGTGTTTTTAAACCAAAAAGAGACTACAGTATAGTGCATACAGCTCGGTGGTACTGTAACAGTGAATTTTATATTTTTGTATTAAAATAAAATAGGAAAAATTTGCAGCAACTTACTCTGCTTTTCATTACATGATTCAACTTTTTTCTAAACTTTATCTAAACATGTGGCCTATGTTTTCTTTCTCTCCATCTTTGAGTTTGGGTCAAACGGACTGTGGGTGCGCCTCTCAGAGTGACGGGACCGGCCTCCTGGGTAATAGTGATTGTAAATGCTCGCCTGGGGAACTCTTTCACCTTCTCATCTCCCTCCCTCTGACAAATGTGTCTCAGCTACACATGCACACACTGACTGCTCAGGGGCATCAGACTGGAGGTGCAAATGTCAGATTTCATCAACATCAACACTCTGTATCACTGTTACTTTTACTTTAAGGCAACGAGATGCCAAGTGAACCCAATACCAAGTAACATGTGTCATTCAACAAACAGACATTATCCATCTCTGCTTGCACCAAAATTAATGTGAATCCTCCGCATAGCAGTCACAATTCATCAGTGCTAATTGTTATGTACACAAAACTGGGCAAAGAGTACACAGATTTTGTTTTACTTTCTTTTGATTATCAGTGCAGAAAGCAACGAGGATTCAAAATAATAAGTTAAAGTAATAAATAAGTTGGATCTCTTTTAATGTCCTTAACGTGTTCTGTTTGAGACGCACAGTTCATATGCATAAAAATGGACAAAAACAATTAGTTACGGCCCTAAATGAGACACACTGAAGTCAGATTCTGTGTGTGTGAACGGTACTGAAGGGTGTCAGCTCACTGGTAGCCAACAGTGTTACTGACTGTGATGTTGTAGAACGGGCATTTTGTGGAATCTCTGCTCCATGGATCATTGCAGAAATGGTCCTGTGTGCTGTGTGCTGACTGCAGCCTGGTAAATCCAATGTGAAAAGCCCCACCCACATGTGGGATCCCTCCTCTCACACCATCTAACATTTTAGTGTCCATAAGCTAAGAATCTTGATACGTCTTTCTGTTTACTGCAGGTATACAATAAATACATGGTGTTTCTCTGTCCTGCCAGGAAAGAGAAGGTCAGGTGAATTCTACTTTCAAAGGTGGTGTCTTGCAGCAGCATTTTGCTTAAGAGTGACGACTTTCAAATCAGATTGCATCATATTTTTCCTGCCGTTGCCTCTGTACTTTGTCTCCAGCTGTGGGAGGAAGAGTGGGGCCAACAAGGACTGCAGATACTGCTGAGTGGTGCAGTACATGGTGTAGGGCTGTTATCATCTTGACTAATGGCCTGAGAGTGGATTCTTACTCTTTAGAGGCTGCATTTACTTAATCACCAGACAAGATAATGCTGCTGTCACTGTGTTGGTTAAGGGGAGAGGGTGACAGGCTGCTGCTTTTATCTGCATGTTTCATTTCAAGACATGTGTGGGAGCACGTGTGTGTATGTTTTATAACGGTTTCTGTCCATGCTCATATTAGAGGCAGAGAGATGAGTTGAATTCCTACTGAGGATTCATGTTTCTGAGACAGTAAGAGGCATCCAGACCCATACTGTAGGTACACACACGCAAACAAAAGGCCTGGCCATGCATATCTACCCTTCAGCAGCTGTCAACCCGCTATCCGTTCTCTACTGCTACCATTCTAATCTCTTTCTTCACAAACTCCTGAATGAGTCATTTCCATCAGCAGGGCTCAGTTATGAATAATAACAATCACCTAAATGAATAATCAAACTTTTTTCTTTTCTCCTTCAACAAGAGGATGTGCTGGTTTATGTGATTAAAACAAGACTGCTTTTGTCTAGAAGTGAAAAGGAAATTTGTGTAGCTCTGTTGGCTAACTGTTTGACACAGAGAACATTTTGTTTGTTGAAATTGTTATGTGCTATTTGTTGGGTACTGTATTTATCCCTCAGCCTCAGAGTCCTTGCTGATAACAGGAGGGTCTAATCAGAGTTGTCGATTCGGAAATTCAGGAGTATATCCACCAGCACTGTCAAGATGTCAAACCTAGCCAGCAGGGACACACACAACAACAGCGTTGCTGAATTTTAAAGGACTGTCACAGCACACTTAGAAAGTTACTTTTGGGCACAAGATCACTCATGTAAAAGGTAGAAGATATCTTCATCCTGAAGGTGCAGGCAGTTTCTCATTTAGCCTTTCTGACTGAGACGCTGCTAATCAATGACAGTGGTTGGCACACACTTGGTTGCACATTATCAGACACCAAAAGAAACAGAAAAGTCACTCATCATATTGTCTTCATCAAGAATGACATTTAAAACCTCTCAAAGTTGAAACATGGTAAAGCTATTACAGATAAACACATCACAAAGCAGCTTACTGAAGAGGAGTAAACGCCTACTGCTACCCCACATCAGTAACTACAGCTGAAATTATTTATCAAGTCAATAGTTGCTTGGTAAACTGAAAATTAAGCTGGAACTCTTTATAATGGATGAATAATTCCAGTCAAGAAAAAAAGGCAAACATTCCCTGGTTCCAGCTATTCAAATATGAACATTTGCTGTTTTTCTGATTAAACTGAATGAATGCCTTTTGGATTGGGTTTTCAAAAAATATAATGGGTATTTGACATTGTTTTCTGATTTTATTTATTTAGTATTTTCTAGGACCTAATGATCATTTAAGAAAATGAAGTGGCAGATTAAAACAATGATAAAATAGTTAGTTGCAGCTGTAAACATAGGAAACCTCCACACGAAAATTAAAGAAAACGGTACAACCATGGGCGGGCCGAGCCCATGAAGGGTTTTTCATCAGGACTGTTGAGCAGGAACTAATCATAAAGACCTGAGAACAACCACAGCTTCACACTGAGACAGAGCACAGCGAGTGCTTTTCTTGCCAGCTTACAGTTTGCGACTCATGCAGGCCAGCAGGCCGCTTCACTTCCTCGCTCATGTGTTCAAAAACTATTATGCCTTCTGTGCACTCCCAAGGAGAACAGCTTGTAGTTTGGTTTTGTAGTTAAAAAAAAAAAGACTCCGGGTACTCCAGCTTCCTCCCACAGTCCAAAGACATGCAGCTTAGGTTGATTGGTGTCTCTAAATTGCCCATAGGAGTGCGTGTGTGTGGTTGTTTGTCTATGTGTCAGCCCTGCGATTGATTGGCGACCTGTCCAGGGTGTACCCCGCCTTCGCCCAATTGCCGGCCAGGATTGGCTCCGCCCCCTGCCCCCCCCCGGTGACCCTGTTCAGGGACTAAGCGGTAGAAAGTGAATGAAAAAAAGAATATTACGCATCACATTCTTCCACACATGGAACAGCTTGTTGGATTTTAGAAGCATTATATGGCTGAGTAATTAAAACCATGAGTTAATGCCAATGTTTTGTTCATGCTGTAACATTCTTTTTAATAGATACATGTGCAACTGTGAGAGTACAAATGAGAAGTTGTGGTGATTTTAGTCATTTGCCCTGTGAGCACTAGGGTTGTAGAGAGGTCAAACGCTGTCCTTTGGAGCTGTGCATTACATTGTGATAGTCTCACAGTTGCTCGTCAGTACCAACAACAACCCCAATGCCTCTGGGTCATACTCATCATCGGCAAACTGGTGAATTATCGATTGCCTTTTTGGTCACATAACCAGTTACATCATGTGTGAGAGGACTGCTGCGGACCTGATGCTGTGACTAATGAAGTGAAATGCTGCAAAGTTTTTAAACGTATAAATTCACAATCAAACGTTTGGCTCAGTCTACTTATAGAAACATAAGTTGTTGATTAGAAAACAGAGAGGGATGTGGGATGGGGCTAGTTTTAATGGATAATGTGAACGCGCTTTACTGTTCTACTTATAAACAAAGCTAGAGCTGCTTAAAGATGAATATGCATTATCTGTTGATTCTGCATCCAGAGCTAAATTATATTTAGAACAACGCTGGAGGAGGTGAATGCATCTACTGTGTTAACCAGATTTATTCAAATCGTTGAATTATAGAGAACAGAAAAATTTTGGAACTGTAATGACTCACTGTCCTCAAAGGCCAGAAGGCTAAGCAGCAAGATACAATCTATGAATAATTCAGCCAATCTGTGAGTTTAACATTTAACATAGTGGAGGCAAATACATGTTTGTGTCTTTGATTACTACGGCAAATTATTTACTGATACAGTCATAACGCACTGCACCAGATCTACTGTGAGTCACTTACTGACAAACTTAAGTAAATCAAACTAAGGAACAACAGTGGGTGATGAACAGCAAGGTGAAATATAGCAAAAACTAGCTGCTGCATCAGTCATGTTTTAGCTTGGTTTCAGTTGAGAGCTCCTTTAAAGTGAACTTTACACACTTTATTCCTGCAGTGTTCTTTGTTAAACACAGGTCCCTCTTTCTCTCAGCCTTTTGAAGTTTTGGAACTTTTACACCTGGTTGTCCCAGATTTTATGTCACCAGCTAAACTGCTTCTGCCACATTGGTCAACTGTCAATGAACAATTAGATTTTGTGGCCATTTCCAGTCCCTCCTCCTTTGCTGCTTTGCTTATAGTGTTTGCATTGATTTCTTTTTACTGTTCATTTAATGTGTTTAATTACGACGATAGTTTATAGCTATTTATTACAGTAGGACTTGACCTAATATTGAAACAGTGAGAATGCTTCACTTGTTGATCCCTAACCAAGAGCCACACTTTTGACAGTTGGACTAACTACGGATACTGCTGGACTGACCAATCTAATCTATTTTTCACTTATGATGTGGTCTCAGTTTATGAACAAAAGCAATCAAATATCACAGATACATTACTTTGAAAAGAGACAAAGGCCTAAAAAATATTTCCTCAAACATCCATCCTACAAACTGCTGTTGTACAGTTTTAGGTAATCCATTATAGTGAATTTTATGAACAAAATGGTGGTTATTTGTATGGCATGTGAAGGAAGCATTGTTGAGAAAAAAAACTAAGGAAAACAAAGTGAATCATTTGTTACTTAAATTTATCAAGTGTAATTTTTGCAAATTTTTATAACCAGTCACTGGAAGAAACAACTAATCAGCATAGAGATGAGAAGCGGTAAGCCATCCAAGGTGGATATTAGCTGTAAATTTACTCATTTACTAAATCCCAGTTGATGAACAGTGTGGAGTAGAGCAGAACGCAGAATGGTGTGACAGAAGGAGACACCGGTGCACGGACATGATGGGATGTGCTATATTACTGTATGCCATGAAGCCAGTGAGGAGGACAGGACAGAGATTAACTTAATTTTCTTGAGGATTTACATTTCTTTCATTAACTGTCCTGTTTGGGTGAGATGGAGCAATAGCACTTCTTTTTCACAAGAACTGGAGCTATTGGAGCAACTCAGCTGTGGTTATAGGTTCTGTACCAGAGAGCTATCGCATTTGTCTTGAGATAGGAACTTAGTGGGTTGCACAGGTGTAGCCTCGATGGGCCTCTAGTTGTTCACTAGAGATGTTGCATGGCCTCCAGGGAAAAGGCACATTTTCCCATTTGTCATGAACTGTATTAACAAGAACTATAAATCCTGCTCTGCCTTGTTCACTTAAGGTTGAGGTTTCAGGTTTCAAGAAGCGTGCAAAAAGAAATCTGAAATACCACTGGACAGGTAGTAAATTTTCAGGCCCAGGTGCTGCAGAGTTCAGGGGATCCTACCCCCAAGAGTTTCTGTAGGGAGCAACCTCTTACTACATAGGTAACAGGCAAAAAGTCCTTGGAAAAAAATGAAGAATTTGCCTAAAAATTTGGGTATGATTGAAATACAAGGTAACTCATGACCATGAAAAATGGAGAATCCCTTTGTATGCCCAGGGGGCCATGTAGTCATAATCCATCCAGGCCTCATAATACCTCAGTCTTATGTGTTATCAAAAACTAATAATAGAAATTAGGAATCACAGAAGCTGATCTGTGGCAGAACGGCCCCTTGTGCGTGACTGCTTGTTTCCCTGTCGGCAGCAACCAGTCAGGTTCTATTTAAAACATATTACTGTGAGGGGTTTCGACAATTAAATTGTTTCTCATAAACCGAGACATACAAATTATTGGATAATAGATAGATTTCCTATGTAGTTAAAGGTGCATGAGATGACATCACTCTGCTGTGAACCGTAAGAGAAATCACCCAGTGCTAATCACGTCCCTTCATTTATAACAAAGAAGTGTTCGAAAGAGTCATGGCTGGCTGAAAGTTTCAGCCAGAAAGATGCTTATACACTCAACCTGATGTGTTACATGACAGCCAACTCTGAGTCCTCAGTATGTCTGTGGGAAGCCATGGTTCTCTTCCTCCTAGCTCTGCATTTCTGCTCCTCTGCCTCCAACACACTGAATTCCATTACAATACCTCAAGCCTGTGTGAGTGAGAGAGTGAGAGAACAGTCCAGCCAGTCCTCCCCTCCTCTCTCTCTTGTCTCTTGCTATGGAAGATGCCTTGGGCTTTAAGGCAAACGATGCCTCAGACATCTGTAATTAATCCACGTTTGGGCTCTTTTTTTTTGAGCACTTGCAAATGAGAACAATTTTTCACCCATTGGTACATTCAGGCAGAGAGAGAGAAAGGAGAGAGGAAAACATAGCATGAAGAATTGAAAGACTGAAGATTGAGTGAAAGGAAAAGGTACTAAGTTCAGTCACTCATCAGGCTCTGAGGCATGCTGAGTATGCTGGCAGGATGTTTGGTAGGGGGTCAGGGATCCCTCAAACCTGTCTCTCCAGTCTGCCTGCTGGAGAGCAATCCCTCCCTGACTTGGCTTACAGTAACTCCCCCCTACCCCATCTCTGTCTCTCTCTTCCTCCCCTGTTCCCCCTCTCTTACAGAATGTTTCCTGGGGTAAGCAGTACTCTTATGCCCTCTTCAAAGCCATGAGCCACATGCTGTGTATCGGGTACGGTGCCCGGGCACCAGTCAGCATGTCTGACCTGTGGATCACCATGCTGAGTATGATTGTAGGCGCCACATGCTACGCCATGTTTGTAGGCCATGCTACGGCCCTAATCCAATCACTGGACTCCTCACGCAGGCAATACCAAGAGAAGGTAAGAGCCAAGCAGTGACACACATTACAGTGTAGTTTCCTGTGTATATCATATCCAATACCGGAAAAAAGATTGGGTTTACTGTACATGATATTGGATGTTAGTGAGTTTAAATTTTAAAAAGGGAACTGCATGTTAGATTGTAGAAATCTTTACTGCTTTGTTGTTTCAAGGTAAGCAATGCTACTGTAATTACTGTCTTTGTTGTTTCAAGGTAAGCAATGCTAATTACTGCTCCACAAGGATGGTTTTAGCGTATTAATATGAGGAGTTTGCCCTTTCTGACCGTTCATCCTGTTCATTTGAGCTAAATTAGATTTTCCCTCAGTGGCCTTGTGGACCAGTGGGCTGAGCTCTCACAGATCACAATAACTGGGACTAGAAAAGATGATTTTCTCCCACCAGGCAGATCACATAAGGCCAACAGGCTGACTTGACCAGTCACCTCGCTGTGTGTACAGTATGCTGCCAGTGAACACAGTTTCTTCTTTCCTTTCAGTTCAGTTCTTATATCTTTTTTAAATTATTATTTTTGGGAATGGAGGACAATTATCCAGCATTTCAGTCGAACCACACTCTGTGATCTGCTGAGGGCCATATCTGATGCACCGTGAGCTCACACACAAGAACCTGAGCTTGACTCCAAAAACTTTTTCTGTATTTATGCTGCAAAACTCCATGTACTGCACCTGCACCATTGTAGTGTATGGGATTATACAGTAGTCTTGATCCACTTCAGAACATGGTTATAATTAAAATAAAGATATGACCTTTAACTTATATAATAACAAACATTCACATTGTATATTAAAGCTAACAATAAATTATTTTAAGTCACTTTACTGCCAAACAGTCCAATTCTAACTTTTGTTTTGAGGATTTTTCCCTTTTGTTCTATGTGATGGCAAACCAAATTAGAGCCACAATAAGTAGTTGATTAATCAATTAGTTAATTAAGAGAGCATACCAATCATCAGTTGGTCTAGTCAGTCACTGACAGTAGATCAGATGGTCAGTGCACTACAGATGTGGTAGGATGGAGCAGGATACAAACAAATTACTTTTCCTTGGTATTGTACTGTTGGCTGGGTTGAAGGAGGACCCGGATACCAAAACTGCCTTTTCCTGCACTCTCACAAGCTACTATTTTATTGAACACACAACAACAAAGAACACACCGAACACAACACCACAATCCTACCAACCCAGAACTAAATACCTCCCGTGCCCAGCGGTCATTACGTGGATCCCGCCAGACGCTCCCCTCTCGAGAATTCTGGGGGATGCCACCAACTGTCTCTGTGCCCCCCCTTGCTACAGTATTTAATTCATAGGGTGAAACTGGAGCAGCTTTTCATTATAATACAAAACTGAATTTTATGATTCATCATATACACATGATCAGATCAGATACATATCACAGCACGTTCTACAGAAAATTAATTACAGCATGTTTCCGACATCAAACAAATCAAATGTTCAAAGTCTGTGTTTAAATTAGTGACATGTCTCTTGCTCAGTATGTGATGTACATCTGCTCCACAGCACTCTACATCTTACCTTATCCATTCAACATCCCTCAAGGCACTGAACCGACAGCTGTGAGGCTGTGGATGGTCGTTCATAGTAACAGAGACCCAGTGCGTTGCCAGATTCAGCCAGAACTGTTTTGCTGCATGGCTGTGCATATCAGTAGAGCAGGCTGAGGAGCAGTGGGGATGGGTTCAGGGTGCTCAGGTTCTAGTTATTACATCTATCAGTGCCACAGCTTGGGAGCTGGAAACATGGACGGATACAGTATATGGATATGGATGTGAAGTTAGAAGTCGGCTAAGGACAAAGGATATTTGTGAGAAGGACAAGACTGGATGATTCTTGTCAATAGGTTCTATTTAAATTACAAAAACTATCCTTACATTACTTCTTCAAAACATATTTTACATTCACTTGTATTCAGAAAAACGCGATTAAAGAGAAAAAACTCAATTTAAAAAGATGGAGGGAAATGCAGAAAGAGAAAGACAGGAACCCAAAATTTTCAGAGGGGCAGGAAGGAAATGAGGCCGTAAAGCATCTCAAATCACACCTGCCATCCCGGTGCTGAATCACTGGAAGCCGGCATACAGCTGTGTTTCATTCAGCAGCTAAAGAGTTCTTAAAACATGTCCAAGCTGTGACTCACTTCATTTATAGGCTTTAGAGTCTATAGCAAACCTAACTTACCTACTTGTTTGATGGCAAGTTAGGTTAAATAAAACATGAGGAAATAGTGAAAAACCATTATAAAATGTAAATTGTGGAACTAAAATGGTGCAGGACAGTCAAAACACATCCCAGTATATTCTGAATTAGAAGCAGTCAAGCTTAAAGGAATGTTTTGCTTCCTTACAAAAATTTTGAAGCCAGCATCCAGTTAGCTTAGCTCATGGGTTAATTTGGCCTCAAACAGTTCATCCCAGTGAGAGTTGGACTAAAACAGCTCTGACTATTTGTAGAGAAAAAGAATGAGAGCATTGTAGTCATCGTTGATCTAAACTGTAAAAAAGAAAGTATAACCAGATCATTAACTATTAAATCACAAATTAGGATAAATGTGAGGCTGGAAATTAAGTCACTGCTGTTTTGAAAACTTGATATGACCTGGAAGTGAAGGTCACATATCAAACCTGAAGTGTCAGAGACACCATTGCCCAGCTCTGTGCCCCACCTCGGCCTCTCCGAACAAAATGGCCTGGCCGACCTACTGCAGATGCTTTTATGCTTCAACTGTGTGAACTCTAAATAAATCAATTTCCTGGAAACAAAGCCCTGGCCCCTTATCACCTTTCTGCAGCTGGGGGAGGAATCAATGAGGGAGGCACTGTGACTCAAGTGTCATTCTGTGGGCCATGCTGGACTGCTGCTGGACCATGCTGCTGGAGCCGGCTACCAAGCTCACAGCTGCTGCTGGCTCTCTCCTACTGCTCTGCTGTGATTACCAGAAGCACTGTGGGAGATCGTGTTAATTTTCAGGTGTCAGGACCTCGGACTGCCTGGGAAGATCGTGTTCACCCCCTGTCTGCAGCAAAACTGTGTGAGGACACAGACTGATGAAAATAGATGAGCTGTATTTTTTTTCTCCCTTTCCATTTCCTTTGGGTCAATAATTGTCTTCAGGTTAAAGTGGACAGAATTTTACTTCCACTAAGGTTCAGTTCATTAGCAGGACAGGTCTCACACCTTTAATGCTGCCAATACTGCACAACAAATGGAAAAGTCCAGCCATGCATGCATGCACAGTAAGAAAAGGTCAAAGGCCACCTGTCATTCTCATAATATTTCATCCTTTCTTTCATATATTTTCTCTCTATCTCATTCCATCCCTCTGAGCCACTCCCCCAATATTTAACCAGGTGATAAGCAGCGCCTGGTATTCATGAGACAAAGTGCTTGGAGTTCTGCCCAAAGAATTCAGTTTTTGCCTCAGACTGTATTTTCCTCATGCACCAAGTTCTTTAAACGCCTTCTGGGCGTGGGCTGTCACATCTTTTACTCAAAGAATGGTTTCTGTCTAGCCACTCTACCATAAAGGCCTGATTGATGGAGTGCTGCTGTGATGGTCATCCTAACAGGTTCTCGCATTTCTGTGCAGAACCTGCGAAGCTCTGTCAGAGTGATTGTTGGATTCTTGGTTACCTCCCTGACCCAGACCCTTCCTCAATTTGGCCGGATGACTCACTCTAGTTTCCAAACTTCTTGCATTTCACTATTATTGAGGCTACTCCACTTCTGGGAACACTTATCAGAAAAGGTTTTTTTTTAACCCTTTCTATTTGCTTCACCACAGTTTTATTGCAGAGGGCTACAGAGACTTCCTTGGATTTCATGGCTTGGTTTTTGTCCTCACATGCATGTACACAGGTGTCTGCCTTTCAAAACTGCTATTTCAGTTTGCCACAGGTAGACTCCTATTTTATTTTAGATACATCACAGGAATTATTAAAGCAAACAGCATTCACCTGACCATTATATGGAGTGCCACAGAAAAGAGTCTGAATATTTTTCTAAATGAAAAATTTCCACTTTTTTTAAGACATTTGCAAAAATTGCAACAAAAAAAAATGCTTTGCCAATATGAGCTATTGAGTGTAGTTTGATAGGCAAAAATCAGGAGTTTTATCCATTTAAAATTAAATCTACAGAACAATAAAATGGGCAAAAAGTGACATCTGAAACAATTCATACACTGACGCAGTTTCAAAGTGCTTAACATACATGTTACATGTTTCAGAATGAAAGAAACAAAACAACCAAACATTCAGGGCTAATCATTCAAATAATCAACCCTTCATTGGTAATGTACTCATATTCTCTATGCAGCTCTTAAATCTCTCCAGGGTATCAGGTGCACCTTGCTACTTTGCATTAGATCATAGCTTGGTGGCCTATTGGTAGTGGGCTTCCAGCTTTAGTGAAATAATCAGAGCTGCTACCTTGGTCTGACATAGCCCCGAGCCTGTACTTGTTCCTACTTTCCTTCACCACCTGCCTCCCTCGTTCTGCTGCCCCCCACCCCCCCACCGCACAGATCCAGGACACGGCTCTGTGACTGTGTGAGAGCAAGGCTTGCCCTCAATAGGGCCGCGAATACACACTCTGTGAAGATCATGTTTTTGCACAGCTTTGCTGTTTATTCACGGTATACTGTGAAAAAAAGCTTTAATTTGACAATTTGGTGCTTAACATATTGATGCAAGAACTCTTCACTGAACTGATGCACATCTGCTTTCTTTGCCTTTCCACTACAGTATAAGCAAGTGGAGCAATACATGTCCTTTCACAAGCTTCCAGCAGACATGCGACAGAAAATTCATGACTACTATGAACATCGCTACCAAGGCAAAATCTTTGATGAGGACAACATCCTGAGTGAACTCAACGATCCGCTCAAAGAGGTGAGACTGTTTCTCTCTTAATACCCCTATCTGAATTTAAGCACAGGCTCTTTCAGAAGCTCCTTCACTAAGTAACATTTATAAATCTTAAGAGACTCAGAGTTTGTCTGAAGATTTTATTTTATTTTTGGAACAGGTAAGAAAAAAATACACATCCAACATCTCAAAAAAAAAAAAGTTGCTGACAGGTAAGCTGTCACACTGTGGTTTTAGTTTTAGAACATGAATGAGTTTAAAAGGTGCCAAAAGAAGATGAGGAGTCCAACTTCATTTGGCACCTTTAAATGCACAGTATGTGAAACTGAAATACCAACACCTGTCATCTCATCTTACAAGGTCAGGGGGGAAAAAAAACAGCAAAAAGGATTCTCCTCAGAGCCGTCAGCACATGAAAACATTCAGAAACATTACCTGCACAAAAACAACGGGTCTGAGAACTGCTGAAAGACCTGCTTTCATTTACAAATATTTACAAGTCTGAAGTCAGCAGTGTAGCACAGATAAACAACCACACAACTGAAGGATTGACTGAGTATACTGTTATTCACAAAGGAAAGGTAATGAGAAAGAATACTGTAGTTTATTGTGGAGTCAGCGACCGGTTTATTGTCTGACCTAGTCACATTACATGCATAATTATGTGCAGGGATGTGGAAGAGGAGAATTAAAAGCAAAGCAAATATAGAAATCGTGACCATCCCTCATGTACCGTAGCCCCATTAAGTCACCTTGCAGAGTCAAATGCTGAGGCACAGTCCCAGACACTCACAGGGAGGTGCAGGGATTTAAGGGTATGAGTTACAACACAGAAAGTCCCATAGGCTTAGTTCACTCTGCGTAGCAAGCAAAGTTAAAATCTGCATGGAGACAGTGTTGCACAGTGTAGGTTATGCCCATGGGATCAACAAATAAAAACCTGGAGTCGCACCAGTTCAAAGCAGGACACGCTAACTAGCTTACGTTGTCATTATGCTGTGTAACATATCTTGTCAGTTATGGATTATTTCAACAGTTTGTTTGTCCCTGGAGAAGACTGTACAGATAAGTTCACAAACTACACTATAGGAAAAGGAAGGTGACTTAAGTATATCAACATTTACAGTAGTTGCTCTAAACATTTTCAGCACAGATTCAGCTTTTGTTATTGCCAGGTTTAAGCTTGATAACTGTGTTTTACACTGAACACACCCATCACATTTTGTCTTAAACACTTTTAAAAGCTACAATAGATAACATCTTCATACAGGTGCCACTGCTACCTTTCTAAATGAGTTCATTTCTGCCAGCTCCTGCTGTATTTGAATCATGCCAGACTAAGAACAACTGTACACTTTACAGAGATAAAATACAGCTTACTCAGTTACATGTGTCTTTATTTGTCAGTGTGACACAACTAATACCACCTTCTCTGTTCCTTGGCTTGTGAAATGGCCATGAATTTTGTTTTGAGACACCAAGTGAGGGAGCAGTGGGGGGTTGTTTTACAGCCTCTGTATCTATAGTCAGTATCTTGGTTCCTAGCCATTTAGCAGTCGGAAATCACGTTAAGCAGCTTCAGACCAGACCATTTCCAGTTAGAATGACTGAGACAACGGCAGAAGAGTCGGACTGATTGCTGATGATTGGAGTTATAGGTCAATTTGGGATCACAATCAGCCCCACTTAGTAGCATTCAGACTCACTTTGGGATGGAGGAGGGCCATGAAATCAACCCAAGACTCTTCTGGCATGTCATTTATCACAGGATTTAGGCTTTTTGTTTGTTCAAACAGATATGACTACATGGGATTCACAGGACAAGCCCTGATTCAGTTTATAAAACAACTTTGGGCTTGCATATTTTCAGTCAAAGGGCAATGGTGCTTCTAGTCTTCAGTTTCTGTAGGCTATCTAGCTACTGTGTAAACAATGGTAGATCTAATCTGAAATTTAAGAACTGCTGTGACTTGAGAGATAGTGACTCTTCTCACACCAAAATATATATATATATTTTATATACATTTTAGCAGTTTTCCTTTCCAAGAGCCCTACGCCTGCATTCATTTTGGTGAACTATGACTATCGACTTGCAGGGAATTAAAACTTTACATAATCCACCACACTGAACTACCACTGTGTCTTGCCATTGTGTAGCTGTGGGCAGAAGCCACCTTAAAAGTGTCCATGGTCTCACTTTCAAGGACACTCCAACATCCAGTAATTGAGTCTTAGCTGCCAAAAGGATTTTCAATAATAAGCTCTGGCACTGGGAAATATAATGTACAAGACTGACAAGCAAACACAGGCACCATAAAAAGGAAAATGATAATATGGCCATTTCATGCATTAAAAGGTTTGGTGATCAGCAGCCATGTGTCAGACTCCATATCTTGCACCAAAAGAGTGCATTTGCTGTGCACTTGTTTGCATTACTTGATTACCTGTCTCGGGCAAGTTTACAATTTTGAGGTTGATAGTTATAATTGAGCAAAACACATGAGATGCAGTTTGTAGTAAATCAGGCAAAATATACAATTAGCAGTTTCATATACAGTAAGAAAACTGTTCTGCTGTTCTCTCTGTCCCCCAAACCCCCTCTTTCCTGTTCTCTGTCTCACTGCCTTTTATTCTCTGTCATATAACAAATATTTAAATAGGCATAGCCAAAGATTGCTTTCCCAGGAGAACTTTTGGCTGGGCGTAAAAACTGCTTACTATCCAATTCATTAGTTCTGGTGCATGATTGAGGTTAGAGCCCTGTGGCATTAGCTGACAGCGGCATCTGAGGCTGAGCTAATAACTCTTTGCATTGCCCTCATCTGGCCAGCGAGTGTCCCACAGATTGGTTATCTTTCTGCTAATGCCCTGTTGTCACTGGTGGAGAGCTATCCCTCATACGGGGTCAACAACACAACGCCACAGATGCCAAGTGCTCTGGCTTCCCATCTGTACAGCAACAAAGATGTGTGGGTAAACAGACAACAACCTCCTAATCTCCTGCTGGGTCTGAGGGGACAGGATGAGACCAGAGAGATGGCCTGCAGCCGACACCAAAGGGCAAACTCATCAGGATATGACTCATGTGCCAAAAAGTTTCTTCTCAGGAGTTACAGGAAGTGCTTTAGAAGCATCAGGGATAACGGAGCAACATGCATCCGATTCATTGCAGATAAAAGCTGAATAGATGAAGGATTTGTCGTGGTGTTTGTGCTATTCTATGCTTATTTTGTAAGTTGATGGTTATGACACGACCTCATCATCAGCTTGACCAATACTCTGCTTTTGTCTTCCACCAGGAAATTGTTAACTTCAACTGCCGTAAGCTTGTGGCCACCATGCCTCTGTTTGCCAATGCAGACCCCAACTTTGTGACAGGGATGTTGAGCAAGTTAAAGTTTGAGGTCTTTCAACCCAATGACTACATTATTCGAGAGGGCACCGTTGGGAAGAAGATGTACTTCATTCAACACGGTGTTGTTAGCGTCATCACTAAGTTCAATAAAGAGATGAAGCTGACTGATGGCTCCTACTTTGGAGGTAAGAACAACAATGTAATAAGTAATCAATTTAATTTTTGTTTACAAAAATGAATGATATGTTTCTACAGCTGTGCAACAGCACCACACTTCCATTCACACAT